ACCGAATCTTGCCACCCGTGCCTGATCTCAACAAAAGGTACTGGGCTTGCCTTTAAGGTTTAGGGTTTAGGAAGAAGTAATCAAGCATCCCGAGCGCAGTTTCCATTGGTTGCCTTCTTGTCCCCTGTGCGTAGAGCCCTAGAAACTTTGAACACCCACGACCCATTTGGGAGCTTCCATAATTCGCAAGCCCCGGCATGGACCCCAATCTGCTATAATCCATCTTATAGGGACTCCCAAAACGGGGGCCTAACCCTAAACCTTAAAACATGTACACCTAAAGAATCCTAAACAACACAGCGAAGTCATGACCTAACTGGTACGCGAGATCCCCGAATCAAAAGCGCGAAATTTGAAAGCCCAAGTCTGGAACCTGAGACCCTTAACCCGGTTTGGGTTTTAGGGTTGGGGGTATTCGGCTTAGAGGCTCCAAACCCCAATCAAGCCTGGGCGGTGTCTGTTGCTGTTGCTGGTACCAGCTGCGGCCTGCCAAAACGGGACTTTGCCCATACCAAAGGGTCAGGATACACAGCCTCAAACAGGGATTTTTTGGGCTGAAGGGCGACTGTGTACGGGGTTAACACGAGCTGTGGATGGCAGCTTGCTTACATAAACCCGAAAGCATAGAGACTCGATCTGCAAGAACTCCTGAAATCCGCTTGACTTACTGCGGGAAGAGTAGGGAATAAGTAGCGATCCTGTCCCCATATTCCCTACATTTCCCTACTAACCGCCAGCAAGTTGCCGTCCCCACATTGGTCCCTCTTACCCCCAAAAGGGCAACTCATCCAGCCCAAAAACCTTAACTCCACAATTTACACCCTTGCTTACTGGTGGCAAGTAGGGGAAAAAGAATGTAATCCCTACATAAACCCTATATAATGTATTTCCTTATTACTTACTTAGCCCCAGTAAGTTTAGGGTTTAGGGTGATACATTCCCATGCGATCGCACCTGCTGCGCAGCCGCACAACCTGAGCCATGCAAGTCAATGCTCCTACTTTCGAAGGCTCTTGTGGGCTTATATACACGACCTTACCTATTTCCTGGGGACCTGCAGTGAGGTCTTGCATGGGGGTTGTAGGGCTGCTCTCGGGGGCTTCGGGGCTCGGTTTGGGTTTAGGGTTTTAAAGCCACTCTCAAAGGCTCCAGGGCCCAATCCGGGTCTAGGGTCTAAGGTTCAGAGTCTAGGATTTCAGGTGCTGGGAAGTCTACTTCCGTACGTCAAATTCTCGCAATCAGCATCCCCACTTGTACCCTAAAGAAAAAAAACACCGTCCCCTCCCGGAAACTAAGGGAAACCCAAAAAGGGCTCTATAAAGACTACAGTCCCTTTAAAAAGGGGCTATATGGGTTTCCATGTTAGTTTGGGGGAGTGTAATGATGTAATGAGCATCTCAAGCAATCCTCACGAGGGACCTGCGATTATTGAAGGCCCCCATGGCCGTTTGTTAAGATTATGGTCTCTTTGGTCCCCATTACAGCGCAGCCCTCATCCCTAAACCCTAAACCCCAAACCCTAAACCCGACATATATATATATATACATATACATATATACACATATGGGCTTAGGGTTTGGGTTTAGGCTCTAGGGTAAAGATGCCCTTACTCCGTACTAATCCCAGATGGAATCAGACAAGCTCTCAGACATCTGGGAACCTGGGAATCTATATTCCCGATATAACCCGTTATAATCGTTTCCATTTTCTTTTCCATTATCCCAATACAACCCCAATCCTAAAGCCTAAACCCTAAACCCCAAACCCTAAACCCTAAACCCCTACAATCACTGTATTAGGAGAGAAGCCTTGGGAGCAGCTTGACCCTTCTCCGGAACCAGCTTGGCACGCTTCCGAAGAGGTTCAGAATCCTTCGCACAGTTTAGGGTTTAGGGGTTTAAGGGTTTAGGATTGAGCGGTTTAGGATGTAGGGTTTTAGGGTTTTAGGGTTGTAGGGTTTTAGGGATTTAGGGTTTAGGGTTTAGGGTTTAGGACTTGAGTTTTAGCATTTAGGGTTTAGCACGTAGGGTGTGGGATTTAGAGTTTAGACCTTTCGGGTTTGCGGATTAGAGCTCAGGGCTAGAGGCCTAGGATTTCGACTGATTTCGAGACTAGGATTCCGGGTCCATGCGATAAGGTGCTCAATGTAGGAGATGAATCCGTGGAAGGCCAAGGATTAGCGGCCATATAGCGGCTGTGCAGAATGATGCCATGTGTAGACAACACTGTGCTACTAAATCATGGATGACCTCAATAAACTTTAGTGCCATACTTCCCAAGGTGTAAAATGTAATCGGTACTTAGGGTCACGATGTTTGGCATCCACCGTAGCGCCTAAACAAAGGAAAATCTTGTAGCTATTGTTGGCAAAACAGGTGCCTCTTTCGCAGGAGCCTTTGCGCAACATTAAACTGCAAGGAGGCCTTTGGCTTTAACAGGCAAACATCAAACGCTCTCAAATACAATGACCACCATGACCGTCATGCTCGTCCGCATAGTTGGCATCGCCAGGTATTATCACTGTCAACATTACTCCCACCGCCGCCACTCCTACTCTCACTTCTGCTGCCGCTCATGTCCACCAAAAGTTCACAAACATGAAAGTATGGGTTCTATCATCACCATCATCATCATCATCATCAGCATCATCATCATCATCCTGCTAATCTACCTTGGTGTCTTCGCAAGCTCTGAACCCTAAACTCCAACACGCTAAGACCTGAAACCAAAAAGAGCCGACCTCACACGTGTAGCAGCACATTCCTTCTACAGTACTCAAAAGAGCGGTTCAAAGAACTGGTATACCTTGAGGCTCCCGTGGTCCCTTCAATTTGTGAAAACTTAAAACAACCCCACTGGTATCGACAAGCATACAGTATCGGTTTGGTAGAAAGCTCAGAAGTTGAAAAATAACAACCTCAGTATAAATCTACTCTAAGAAATAGGAACGGAGGAGGCTCTGACCCTACATCCAAAGACCCTAAACCCTTAAACCCTAAATCCCCAAGACTTACTAGGGGTTGGTGGGGAATAAGGGACTATAATCCATATATGACTATATAACGCCTATATAATTTCATGTAACCCCCAGATAATATCTTTCCGTATTCCCGACCAAACCTAAACCCTGAACCAGAAACCCTGAAACCCTAAAGTCTAGACCCTCAAGCCATATAACCTTACCATAACATAGGGTTCTCAACTTTCCTTAACCTAGAAAACTTCCAGATTTCAAGGTTTCAAGCTCCAAAAAATTGGCCCCCAAACCCTAAGTAATAACAATACACCCTAAACCCTAGACCCTGAAGCGCCAGAGGCCTCTGCAATCTCTGCAGCAGGAACCAAACTGGCAGCAGCGGAGCTTATCACTGCCTGCAGCCAAAGGTCTGCTTTTTGTTGACTGCAGGTTAGTAGATAAATGAAGGCATATATATATATATACGTATATATATATAGTATGATATATGTGTGTATATATATATATAGAGCATAATGCATATATATATATATACAAAGTATTATATACATGTGTGTATATATCTATACATATCTGCAGGGTTCAGGGTTTCGAGCAGGGAAAAGGGGGAATAGATTATGCTTAGAGAAGGGATAATGGAAAAGAGAATGGAAACTGCTTATCTAAAAATAGGGTGTATACTGAGGCTATAATGGGGAATAAGGGGAATGTACTATATAGGGGAGGTGTGAGCTATAATCTTAATCTATACTCTGACCTATATAATCCGCTATATAGCCCCTTTAAGGAATTTAGACTATAGCCCATATAGGGATTACATTCCCTGATTCCCTACGAACAACCAGTTCAGCAAGTTAGCGTCAAGCATGTGGAGGTCTCATTTCGTGGTTGATGCAATTCAAGTAAGGTTTTTGGCAAGTCCTACCAATGCTGCTTTTATGCAAGGAATCTAAGAGCATCATATCGGCAGTTATATGGGCTATAGGCTAAACTCCTGAGATCCCCTCAAAAAATCCCCTAGATAGCCCCCTGTGAGGAATTTTTACCTTAAACCCTAAACCCTGAACCCCAGACACTAAACCCGGGATAACCCCCTATATAACCCCCTTCAAGGAGTTTAGACTATGGCTCATATAGGCTTCTACATTACATCAACACTAAGCGATTGTAGCGCTGCCTGTCGTCGCTTCGACCTGGGTTAGCATGGGGAACCAGTTTCAGGTTCACCCTAAACTCTAAACCCTAACCCTTGAGAGTTGAAGGCTTCGAGTTTCAAGGGGAATTAGGGCTTGGAGGGCCTAGGCTGCCTGTAGGCTATTTTTGTTGAGGGTGTTTAGGCCTTAGGGTGTACTAGGGTAGCCTTGGGGGCCCTGTAAAAATTAAGTTCTTATGGCTTTAGAATGGTTGTGTAGAGACTAAGGGTAATAGAAATGGAAACCATTTTCAAACCTACCCCTGTGTATGCAGGTTGCAGGCGTTGAGATAGGGGTCTTGATGCTTAAGGTCCACGCCAATGCTTGAAGTTCAGGTGGGCTGGTATTCAGGGTCTAGAGTCCCTGCGCGGCTTGGGGTTGAGGGTCTTATTGCCGATAAACTGTTTAGGATACACAAGATCACCCGTCTTAGATTTTAGGTTAACATCCGGGATCAGCGGGAGCCATGAAAGAGAGTTGGTGCTATCCCTGTACGACTTGAGGCGACATGACAATCACATGAATATAGTTCTCTCGCCATTCCGCTTGCTGAATGTGTGCCATGATCTTGTTTTGCCTGACTTTACGCTTTAGGTGCAAGCATTCTGTGATCAGGGCCCAAACGATCATCACCGCTACTTATCGTAAAGTTCCCCGGTTCGGGGGTGGAATAACTCAGAACCAAAAGAACCCCACGACATTGGAGAAACCTTCGCAGGAGGCCGAAACGAGTCTCGAAAACCCCCCGACCGAAACTATCCCAAAACAACCTTTACGCCAAAACAGCCTCTAAAATCCAGTATATCCAACAGCACGCTGAGATTCGGACGCTACGGCACGGCCGTTTGCGTGGCCTTCCTGAGGCTCGCCAGCATCCTCCTCCTCTTCAACGTCATCCTCTACGGCCATTTCCGCCACCTCCTCCTGCACGGTTTAAGCATGTCAGCAGCTTTGGCTTAAGGTTCCAACCATGGGCCCTCAAGGTTTGAGGGGCTTGGGGCTTTGGGTGGCTCCTCGCCCTCTTCAAGCTCCACCTCCTCGTCGGGAAGATACTCAACCTCCTCCTCCGCGTCTTCTAAGATCAGGAGGTCTTCCGGCTCCTCCTCCGGCTCTTCACAGACCTCCTCCTCTGCGTCGGGGTCCAAATCATCTTCCCAAGCCTTGCCCGCCTGACGTGTTGCTTTTTTTCGGTTGCTGACCCTTAGGCTCTAAGGACTCATAATAGAAGGCTTTGGGGCCCAAAGACCATACTCTATAGGGCTTTTGGGCTATTTTGAGCCTTAGGGTAATAGTACTGGTGACTTGCATTGCGCAGAGGTCTCATGACTCCAAGGACCCAACAATAGGGTTTTAGGGCCCAAATACTGCAATATTGATGGTATTTGGGCCCTAAGACCCTGTTATTTGGGTCCTCGGACCCTTAGGGTAAGTTCATTCAGAAACATGATGGCCTCGGTCACTCTTTATATTTCTTTGTGCAACTCCATGACTCCGTGTACCTAAACCCCCCGCTTCTGACCCCACCAGCTCAGATGCGGCCTTGTCGAGATCAATCGCTTCATCCACCAGCTCCTCCCCGTTCAGACTGTACGCCTGGGTCTAAGGTTTAGGGTTTAGGGTTTAGGGTCTACGGTTAGAAGTATGGGCCCCTAATATGGGCCTTTAGGCCTTTCGGTGGATTCTAGGCACCCTTAAGGGTACATATGAGCTATAGTCTAAACTCCTAGCACCCCCCCCCATAATAGTCCCCTTTAAAATCCCCTACTATGTCACCCCCTTTTCGGAGTTTAGCATAGTGGGTATATGTATATATACATATATATGGATCCCAGGGTTAAAGGCTAGCATTGAGGACTCCTAAGTGGCCTTGAAGTTGGTAGTTTTCTGGGATGCTTGGGGGTTTAGGGCTTCGGGTTTAATATTCAGGGTTTAGGGTTTGGGGTGTTGGGTTCAGGGATCAGGGGTGCCTTTTTTGGGGAGGTCCCTATAAGAAGGACTCTTGAGTATTCTGGAGTTTATAGGGAAACTACCACCTCTACCAAGCCCAGAACATATCTTTTAACTGGCTTTGAAGTACCGTGCATCCTGGTTCCAGTCGGTTACCTTACCCGGCTCCGGGCTGCTTTCTAGCATAAGTTGTCTAGGAAGATGTGCGAATAAACCCTAGACCCTAAACCCCCTGATGTTTCAAACCCTGTGCACTCCTCTTGGACCCACTGAAACTTCCCCCAGATTGTACGCACTGAACAATACTAGTCCTAAGGAACCCTATAACCGTAAGAAAAGACTCTTTCAATGACCATGCGATGACAGTCATAAAGCTGAGAATTCATCACCTGGCCTGATCAAAGTCGGCATCAATCACCTCACTGACGTCAATCAAGGACTCCTGGGTGATTACCATTCTTTCCAATGTGGGCACTATCATTACTGTTATTGCTACTATTATCATCATGACTATGCCGACTATTGCAACTATTATTACTGTGATTCCGATTCCTATGGGAGGAAACAACTCGTTCGTAGTCTACCAGGGAGGTCATGAAGGTCGAGGAGAGGAACGCTGATGACATGAGATTGACTAAGAGGTACCACGCACCGAAACACCCTAACCCCTAAACTCTAAACAGCAGACAGCTACAAGAGCGACAAGCAGCTGGCCAGCTGGACCCAAGCCCAAAACAAAAACCTCAGCAAAGGCAAGCCCAATCCTACATATCCTAAGCCCCAACCCCAACCCTCGAACCCTAAACCCCACAACTTCCAAACCCTAAAACCCCACAACCCCACAACCCGCATACCCTAAACCCTAAAAACCCTAGACCCCCAAACTTGAAACCCCACCCCCAAAAAACCCTAAGTCCGGTCTCCTGCAGGCGCCGGAGCTTTCGGACCCTCCGCCGCGTTCTGCGGGGGGAATCCTGGCTTGGATGAAGTACCCTTTACCATAAGCTGCAGTCTCCTTGGATCCATTATGAAAATAATATTCTGAATAATTCCTTAGGGTTATACTATATTGAAAATTAAAGATAACTCCTAAGGACAGTACCATAAGTATACAGGGAATCGGACACCAAAATGGTTTAGGGCTTCCCTAAACTGAAAACCCTAAATTGGGTTTCAAGCTTTAGGATGTCGCTCCGCTGAGCTCATGATTCCGGAGTGTCTCAGGATTAGGGGGGGGGAAGGGGGCGTAGCAGAAACTCAAAATCATGGATCCGGACCCTTATGCGGTTTAGGGTCTAAACATTGTCCAGAATCTTGAGTATAGTCCCTGAGCCCCAAGACTCTCAAACAGCTGTCACGAAAATCAGAATAATTTTCCCCTAACGTATCACGGTACCATGTTGGGAACATTCACTACTAGTGGGCCCCCTAAACCCGAAACCCTAAACCCTAAACCGTCAGGAGTTGCGTTACTTGGTGGGCAGGGTTCATCCAGAAGGCCTGCCACATCAGGGATCCATTTCGGACCTCCGCAATTTCGCCATCAGGTCCTGCGAGCAGGGCCAGCCAAACATAGAAACATGTTGTAAGACAAGAGAAGAAGGGCTTAGCGTTCAGTATGCTTCTGCTGTCTTGCAACAGTAGTTTAGGCGTTGCGAAAATATCTCCCACTCGCAATGGCTCCTGCTAAGCCCATAATATTCCCCTATATAACCCCTCTGTAAAATAAAAGTACCCATATCACTCCCTTTAAGGAGTTTAGACTATAGCTCATGTAGCCAGAAAGTTTCGCAAAGAGAATTCAGCTCCCTGACAGCCATGACAACAAAGAAAAGAACAACGATTCTACCTACTGGTGATTACAGGGAATAAGGGAATATGATCCCTATACCATCTCCATATGATATATTCCCTTATCCCTGACTGACTCATATGGGCATAGGTTTTGGGGCGCTAGAAAAACGGAAAGGGACAACTCAAAAAAACCTTCATACGAGAGTCACCGCACCAATATTCTGTGGGCGGGCCTTATGATCGTCGGAACTGCCCTCCCACCCCCCCCCCCAACACACGCACCCACTCTGACTGTGATACCAGCGCTAGTCCCTATAACCCCTGTAGAATCGCAGGTTGCATTCATTTCCATGTTATTTTCAATTGGATTCTCCATCATCCCTCGATATCACTATCTCCCGACAGGCGGACCTAGGGTTAGGGTCCAGGATTTAGGGTTAGGGTTTAGAGTTAAGGTTTAGACTTTAGGGTCAATCCTTTCCATCTGTTTCTCCATTTTGGCCCCTATACCCTCCTAAACTCAATTTCAATTAATTTAGAGATTCCATTTCCGTGTCTTTTGCCGTTTCCATTTGTCTCTTCGGACTTCGCTGTTGGAGAAAGAGCCCCGCACCCTAAACTCTAAACCCTATATGACCGTACGAAACACCTACAAAACGCCTTGTAAAGTCCGCACATAACCCCATATAATCCTTGTATGATCCCTATAGCCCCTATAACTCCTATATAACCCCAGGTGATGCCTATATGAGTGGTTGAACCTAGTAAAGATCATATTCCTTATATAAAATACTATACCCCAAAGGGAGGATATAATCTTACTCTATAATGGGTACCATAATATCCCCAAATAGAAATACTACTCATATGACCCTTATATGACCGTTTGCCTTTTACAGCCCGAGGTGTTGCCTTCTTCTTGGAACTGCTCAACTTCGTCATCATCTTCGACGACCAGGGTCCTTGATCTTTGGGGGTAATGACCTAGGAATTTATAGTAATAGGTAGGAGTTTTATAGGGGTTACTCAGAGAATATATAGGAATGTGTTAAGGTTATGTAGGGTTGTATTTGGAATTTATAGGGTCATATAGGAAATTGATAGGGTCATATAGGATGCTACAAGGATTTTACAGGGTTGTATTATAATGTCTAGTGAAAGCTTGGTGCTTAGGTTTTAAAGAAGATTCCCAATAATGGGAGCACTTGTGCATTTGAGGATACTGCAGCACAAATCACTATACGTAACCATTTGGGGGCCAAAATTAGGGCCCGGAAGCTTGAGAAACTAAGCTTGGTGGTGCCCTAAACCCTAAACCCTCATTCGAAAAGCATGTAACTGATTAGGCTTCCGACTCACCCCGCGACCACGCTTCCAACAGGTCCGCATCACGCACCTGCATGAGGCACCTGAAGGTGTTTATTGAGGCCAGCGAAAATTAGGTTCAGGGTTTAGGGTTTAGGTATGGATATGTGTATCGAATTGTGCTAAAACCATTGTTGGTAAATGCTGGCAGATAAGGAGTTACGCAGAAAGAATAAGGCGGCAAGTGCCCTATATAATCCCTTTACAATCCCCGTGTAATCCCTATATACCCTACACAATCTCTATATAATCACTGTAGTCCCTACGTAATCCCTATATTATGATCCCTGTATAATCCCTATATAGTCCCTATATAAACCCGCAACAAAGGGCAATGGTGATCTGAAGCTAGGTGCTTCCAACAAGGCATTCACGAAGTGTGCCCTGCTTCAGCATATTTCTAGAGGACCTTTAGATCAATCATGCGGTTCAGGGTTAAGGGTTAAGCGTTATGGGTTCCCCAAACCCTAAACCAAGGGAGCTGTTGAGATGTCAGGGGAATGTGCGAACGTAGGTTCTTTCTCATGGGGCAAGTCGTCTATGCTAGGTCTTTTTGAACTGCCTAAACGGAGGAAACAGGAATATAGAGAGGCATCTAGGGAGCAGGGATTAGGGCTTGGGTCCCGGAATTTCGATCCCTGCCAAAAAAGCCAGTATTTTAACAAGCTCATGTTCATATGACCGCCGCCTACCACTGCTGGCTTACTGGGGGTTAGTAGGGAATAATGAATAAGGGAACCCTAAACCCTATCTTAGAAAATTGATTCCCTCATTCCCTGCTTACCAACCCAAACCCTAAATCCTAAACCTACACCCGAAGCCCTAAACCCTAAATCCTTTCTGTCCTAAACCCTTTTTAAACCCCGAACCCTACACCCAAAACCCTAAACCCTATATGACCCCATCACAATAGTTTCCATTTTCTTTTCCATTGTCCCTATATCACCCCAATATAACCACTGTACAACCCCATAAAACCGCAATATAACCCCTATAAAGCCCCTATATCACCCCTATATAACCCGTATGTGCCACGCTGAGGCGAGGGCACGTGCGACCCTTT